ACTTCGAAGCAGCTTAATCACTCTTTCGGGAATTTTGCCGGCCATTCCGGGCTCGGTCCAAATGGGGGATCCGTCGGTGACAGCTGGTCTCACCACTGCATTGTACACCAGTTTCGCTTTGTGAAACGTTGCACCCCAAGTTGATTGCGCCAATCTACATAAGGCTTGTATTTGTGGTTCGACTTTAAGCTGTATGCCTTTGACACGAGCACCCCAATTGAGCTTCGGGTCGAGATGGATACCTAGGACACGGAGGGACTGTTGCAGCTTCGCGATATGGCCTTGGATTTGGAGTGTAATCTGTATATTGTCTCTTTATAGCTCTTGAGAAGTGCATGAGCTGGTACTTTTCCAGAGCAAATTTCACTCCATGTCGTTCGGCCCACTCTTCGCAAATCCCATGGAGCCTTTCAAGATTTCGGCAATTTTCTTCTATAGAATTGGACCAACTCAGTATGTTAGTATCATCCACGAATCCTACAGCCGTCGAAGACGGCGACTGAAGTTCTGGAAGAAGCGTGCTAACAAAGAATAGGAAGAGAATCGGCGAAAGAGAAGAGCCCTGTGGAATCCCAGTATTAGTCGAAAATTGATCGCCTTTAAATGAGCCAAGGTTCAACAATGTAGTTCTATCCTTGAGAAATGACTCGATATACAACATGATCCATCTTGGTATACCCTTAACCCTCATGTTGTGAATTAGCCTCTCATGAGACACATTATCAAAAGCTCCGGACATATCTAGGCTTAGGAGAGAAGCAACTATCCTTTTATTATTTCCCCATATGGTGTGTACTTGTTCCGTGAGAAGCTCAACTACCGAGACTGTAAATCTCGATTGTCGAGCTCCCATCCGTTCGTCTGAGAGGAGATGATGATCTTCCGCTGCTTTCGATATCCGGTTGGCTATGAGCTTTTTGAGTGTGACGGAAACCGAGTTGGTGATGATTAAATCGCTTTAATAAACTATATGAGGAAAAAAGCCAACTCTAGCTACTACTAACAGGTATTTATAAGAGTTAATCCTCCTCGTGAATCTATAGACTAATGACTTGTCCTTTGGCACAATACTTCTTACCCAGCCACGTATTTCCAGGTGTCACTAAGTTGTAATAACGCTTCAGCCTCCTGACTAGTAGTGCCGTTTCGTTCAGCTTCATCTAACCCCCGTACAGCCTCATCGTAAGAATTCTTAGTATCAGGCTCGGGTATCCACCTAAGCTCAAACAACGGTCAAACCGTAACATCGAGAAGCTTTCCGATGGTATTCAAAAGTGCTATTGGCCAGTATGACTTTGGGTTATCGTAGGATTCATTTTGCGGCTTTCGTAGCACAATGGTCACCGAATCTTTAAAGCCTTTAGGATGGTAGCCTCTTGAGATGCAGGCATTGAACAGTTTTCCTAGATCTTTGCTGAGTGTCAATCTACAATTTTTGAGCATCAAGTTTGGAAAGGCATCTGGACCTGGCGTCTTTTCGTTTGCTAACTTTCCCATGGCTTCTTGTATCTCGGATTCGGTAATTGTACTTGAAACATAATCAAGCTCTATGGGATAAGTTATCCCCTCGATATCGGTCAGGTCTGCTAGGACAGGATGAGGGAAGAAATGGCGTGTCATGATCTCTACTTTTCCGGTAACCTTGGTATAAATATTCCCTTCCCTATCTTGAATGTCTGGCATTTGGGGGAGTCTTGACCGCTCATCCGAACCTTTTTTCGCCCATTTGACTAACCTCCATGGCTTTTCCAGATACTTTGTTGCCTCAGACACTGTATCTCTCCACCCAATCATTTTAGCCTTTTTTATCTTGCTTTTCTTTCGGTTAGTAGCTTTCTAGTATTCCACCCAGCTTTCTTCGGAGCCCAGCTTGGTCCACAATCTCCTTGCCTTTCGCGCTTCTTTTACTGTCTCACTGCACTCCTTAGTCCAATATAGTTTGGCAAAAGTTGACTCTCTGGCGCTAGGGATCGCTTCTTTGACCGTTTCCTTGATGGCCTGAACCATCATTCTCTTGATTGTAGTAGCCACTCATGAGTGCTTAAGAGAGGTCTAGGCCTGGATTTATTCCGCAGCTTTTAGACTTTTAATTATTCTTGACTTAAGATTAATCCATTTATTATAAGTTTTAACTTATACTCCGACTCGGCCCCGTTCCGATTACAACCTGTTCCGACTAAATCCGTTCCAACGCGTGTCCTCCGAATAAAGCTGTCGATCCTGACGCTCAACTAGACGTCTTACTGTCAGGATTACCTTCTGTATAATCTGTATATGTGGTCATGTACAGATATTAGCGGACTACGTACCTATTTTGAAAAAACTAAATAGCGCATTTGCCTTTCATTGAGTGTGCGTGTTGTCATGAAGTGCTTAAGATTTTTATGATCTGATAACACTGTGAAAGGATTACTGAGTCCAACTAGCATTCCTCGCCATTCTTCCATGCAACGAATGATGGCTAGCATCTCCTTGTCGTGAATTTTATAATTAACTTCTGCTGGTGTCAGCTTCTTTGATAATAAGCTATCTGTCTTAAAAGACCCTTTTTTATCCCTCTGTGACTCTCACGGATCCGTAATTAGAACTTTATTACTAACATTAATTCGTGATGAGATGAAGGAGTGGTTAATTAAAACCATCAAATTAAGCATAGCTTCCCCTAATACAATTAGTAATGTGAAAAGTCGTGTAAAAATGTACAAGAGAGTCATGGAGAAAATGACAAGAACACAGTCATTAATGCGAGGATATTGGAAAGAATTGATTACGATTAATTCCGGCTGGCAAATGCTTCTAATCTTGTATATAATAGGTCAGCGTGAGAGAGATTTACTCCTCACGCAACTTCTTCTTTACTTATCCTTTACAATACATTAGTTTACCCAACTGTTCTTCGGGAAGGCTATCTATCCATTTTCCAGCTCTTCATCAGCAAGACCCACGTGTAACATCTACGGCAACAATTTGCCGATTTGTCTCTTCCTAGAGAAGACCTGTCATCCCTTTGACTCAATTATTATCTTCACTTACCACCTAGATCTTCACTAGGCTATACAACACACCCCGTGGAACACTGTCAAACCCTCATCCTTGAGAGTGACAAACAACCCCCAAGCACGTATCCCGAACTATCTGATTCAAGTACTGTCTCCTTTTCATCATCCCGCATTGCCAATATCGGTGAAGTGATGAGGCGCTTTTTCAATTAAATTGGGCGAGACTTTTGGTTAAGTTTAGGAATGGTGCTGCGATTCGTCCAAAATTTGAAATGAAGTCACTGTAAAAGGTCGCAAATCCTATAGGGCTTCGAATAACTTTGGTACTAACTGGTACCTGCCAGCTCTTTAGGGCTTCTACTCTCTCGTGGTCGATCTTAACTCCATCTCCTAGACATATGATGAAACTCAAATATTTTGTCTGTTTTACCGCGAATTAGCTCTGGCGAGGATCATGTTAACTTTAATCCAATGGCCAACAATATCTCCGTTTGCACAAATGAAGACGTCATCTAAATAAGCCGAGCAAAAATCGCCCAGAACGCTGTTGATGTGTCTTTGAAAAGGAATCGGGGCACCGGTCAATCTAAACGGTGTAACGAGTCTTTTTTTTTTTTTGCATCAGATTTTAATTGCGTATGCAGCTATCTGGCTATGACACAATATTGGAGATGAAGTACAGAAAAGATGACTCAATTTACAAACAGAGCTCTCAGGCCTCGGATTTCATTTGCAGGTACCACTGCGAAGTTATGGCGGCTTTTTCTTCACCCCAAGTCAACCCTCATCCGTGAATACCCACCCAGGGGAACATCGCAAAAACCCTGAGTTATCCAGACATGCCTCCGTCATCTATCAACTTTTCTCCGCGAGAAATATGGTCTAAGGCGTCTCCTTTCCAAGTGGGAAATGTGCCCCAGCTATCAAGAATCTACTTGGCGGACCGGCCAAGACGATGTACCACCGCACCATCCAACCATGGCTGTGTTTACAGTGTCGCCTGCACTCTTCCAATAGAAGCCTTGGCACGCACAAAGCTCAATTTGTTCATCTCCATGCCATAATTCATATCACCAAACCCTTTGATGTAGTATCCATTCTCTGCATCATCTTGTAAACTTGTCCTGATCCCTCTCACGTCCGTCCAAAAGAAATTCCTCCTAAATTTGTACGCGACGACTTTGGTCCTCCTGCGGGTATTAGAATTGTTGTGGGCACATATTTAGGGACCGGCTGAGGCCTGAGAATAGTCAACGAGAGGTATAATCATTGAAATGAGGATGTACTAAGTCGTACTTACATACTTGATAAGGCTTCGTTAGGAATCTATCTCGTTGGGCGTTAAAATTTGACATGGAACATTTTGAATCATTGCCTCGTGGGCCAACATCTATGATATTGCGACACTTGAATGAACTTTGCTCCGGGAAATCATTCTACTCGCACATTCATAGAGGACACCGCGTTTAGGTGCTCAGTCCAAGCTAACTTGGCTTTAGAGAGTACACAGAACACCTAACGTACCGTTATGGTTGGATAATGTGGTAGCAACCTATCCGGGTCGATCTTTCGAGAAGAATCTATAATTTTTTGGAAACCTATTAGATTCAACACAAGAGATCGCTAGCTTGAGTCAAGCAAGGCTCGATTGCATGTCTCAGTGTACCTTTATGAGTAGATCATCAAAGTTTTTGTAACATCCCCATTATAGCTATTCACTGACAGACTAGAATAATCCATGTAGTCAACAATACCACATAGTTTTATAGTATGTGAATCCCATAGTTTGAGTGTCTGAGAAAAAAGTATCTTGTAATATGTAAAAATATCACTGGTCGGGTTTCATACTTAGAGAACAGCATACAAGTTAAATGGTACAAAAGGAAAGAGGTCAAAATTTTAGAAAACATATTTCAGATATTTTATGACAGCATTATTGCTTTTGTCATAGCTAACTTGGTCTGAAACGATATGCATTAAAGCTGTCGTCAAATGTTTCTTTTAGTAGGGAATTACTATGTCTGGTCGTGAAGGGGGCTCTTTAAAGTTCAAAACTTGCCCGATCCGAATGATGTGCTCCCAAATCTCACGATCGCTGGCATGCTCATTTATCAGATCGATATAATGCGCGAATTCTTCCAAAGGAATCCTTCCTTTGTCTATCTTTCTTCTCAACTTATGGAGCTCGATATGTACCTTCATAATATCTTTATTTTCCGCAAGCTTCCTGGTGTAGTTTCTTAGTTGTTTTATTGAAGCGTCGATTACTATACAATGAGCTTTTTTCTCTTTGCTCTCCAAGGGAAAACTTACTCGTTAGTTGGTCATCAGATGATTTTAATCTTTCCCTAACTTGAGCGAGTATTTCATCGAGAGGATTTTCATCAGTGTATTTGAAGAGTTCTTCATACTTGCTGGGAGCGCTGTTTAAGTTGGGTGCACGATGGTTATTCATCTTGTAGAATGGTGATATTAAACGGTTAGGCTGTTAGAAACTAGTATGATGATAATCTAGGGTGATGTGAGAGGGTAGTTGTTGAACGACTGGATACTGCTCAGTTTGGTCACATGATAAAACTAGACCGTGATGTTCTGGTAATTGTTGCACATTTTTGAGCAGATAGGCAATTACTAATTTGACCCTGTTCCGAAAGTAAAAACTTGATCTGGTTACGCATGTATAGAAATTTTGACGATCTTCAGGGGCGGGAGTAGGAAGAGTACAAAATTTTGCGTTGACTTGGTTTTCGTCGTGCTATTTAAGTCTGAAGCTGTCTAACATACTGGGCTCGTCTGTGACCCAGGCCACAATGTACACAGTGCACCTATTTACTTATGTAACGGAAAACGCCTCCATTATCATGTCTATGGTGAGCAGCCGTAGAAGACGAAAAATGAGCTCCTATGCGCGATGTCCTCTACGAGCATGCGAGAGAAATATATTCCCTGAGCAAAGTTCAGACAAAATTCGCAATATCGAACAAGTTGGCGCACGAGGCAGTGATTTATTACTCCTGACCAAATCAATCTTTCACTGCCAAAACCGATTCCTAAACAAGCCTCATCGAGTCTGCAAGTACGATCCAGTACACCCTCGTTTCAATGACTAAACCTCTCTCCAATTTTCTTGGGCCTTAGCCGGTCCCTAAATATATGCCTACAACAATACGAATACCCGTAGGAGGACGTAAATCGCGGCGTACAAATTAGGGAGGGAGTTATTTTGGACGGAAGTGAGAAATATCAGGGCAAGTTTACGAGATGATGCAGAAGATTGATGCTTTCTCGACGGGTGTAAGATTTTTAATTTTAGCAAGTAGTTTTTTTCAAAGTGAGCTTAGTGCGCTACACGGCTTTGACCACGAAAGTGTGGGCAACAGTAATAACACTGTCTTTGTTGGATGATTCAGTGGTACATCATCCGTGCCGACCTCCAAAGTAGATTCTTATTGGATTGAATATCAATTCCACTTGAGACAGGAGACGGCTTGATCGAATCCAAGGAAACACAACTACATTTCTAGCGGTGCCAGTATGCTTGTATAGCCAAAGGGTTTGAAACTTCCCTTTGGTGGGTAATCGCGGAGGAAGGTTGACTGTTTGTGTAGGCAAAAAAACCCCAAGTCATCATGGTTGAGGCTCGTTAGAATGGAGTAACAAAAATATCGGAGATATTTGAGGTCTAAGTGCAGGTGAAAATGTACTAATAAGACGTGGGGGACTATTCCCAACACCTGTTAGTGGTGTCCCCTGCTAAACTCTAACTCTGGGACGAAAACCGAGTTGATGATGATTAAATCGCTTTAATAAACTATATGAGGAAAAAAGCCAACTCTAGCTACTACTAACAGATATTTATAAGAGTTAATCCTCCTCGTGAATCTATAGACTAATGACTTGTCCTTTGGCACAATACTTCTTACCCAGCCACGTATTTCCAGGTGTCACTAAGTTGTAATAACGCTTCAGCCTCCTGACTAGTAGTGCCGTTTCGTTCAGCTTCATCTACCCCTCATATAGCCCCATCGTGAGAATTCTCAAAATTAGGCTCGGGTATCTGCCTAAGCTCAAACAACGGTCAAACCGTAACAGCTCTCACTGTAGAGTCTGCAGAGACGAGTTGGGAAACACCACCTTTTCAACTTTGAACTGAGTTATCTCCCCCTCCATGAAAGATACGCTTCCGATAACACATAAGACGACCAGGACGACGATGATGATGCTGGGAATGAGGAAAGATAATGCGGAACCAAACGCTACAACGGTAGTCAGAGAAGCCCTCGTTATATTACAACATGTGCTACCCACCGGCGGGCGAACAAAAAGCCCTGGAAAGCAAAGTAAAAGACCCTTCCGCCCTCAAGAAAAGCAGATTTCGACTCGTCTACATTATCGTCCCTACTAATCATAACTTCCGAATCTACTAGCCAGGGGGGCATCTGAACTACATGAGTTACTCGACGACCCCACGTCCGTAACGACTTTTAGATGCTAGGCTAGGCTCCTTCGCGGCAGTCACTCTCGACCAAGACTTTTCTGACATCCTTTCACGACCTACGATTTGTCCTGCGGCATGAATCAGGGGATGAGTAAGTAGGAGGCTAGGAAGGTTGAGAGATGCTCTTGGGTATACACAGGTCTGCTGCGTCCGGCTGGCCGGCCTCTTCGTCATAGGAGAGCCCCGCACCCAGTGGTTTTTGAGACTTTTGCCTGCAGCTACACACCCACAAATAGCCATCGTTTAGTTGGCTGGAGAGGGGAGATAATGACGGGATAACGGCTCCTCTTAGTGTGTACTCGAATGAAGACCTGTTGGGGTATTACTGATGGAAAGAAGTCGTGAAGGAGGCATAGGAGGGAGTACACTACCCGAGGCATAGATACTCTCAGCCTGTAGGCAGAAAGGACCTCCATGTCCTTACATAGTTATAGACTCATTAGGACAATAAATACTCACTCACCTATGTACAGCAGTTATCCCTCTCTCCCAACCCCATTCCTAAACAGGTAACTCATTACTCATCGTCATATTTAGTCATCATTTCTAAGATAATACATGAAAGGTCGTGAAGTTATAGGGTCATTAAACACTATTATTCACGTCTGGTTGCTTACCAATCCAGACATGAACACGCGTATATAGATTAATACCTCTAGTCATGTACGCAAACATTCTTGCCAGTGAAGCTTTGTGTTTTGGTTGTGAGCTCTGTGGAGTGATGAGGAGTGAATGATGTTATATTTTGTGGGTGACAGTGATTGGACTCACACAATACTATGCAATAGTTATATAAACAGAAATTATCGTTCTCCTGAGTGGATATTTACTAATGAGGGCTAACTTGGGGTGTGGAAAAAGCCGCCATAACTTCGCAGTGGTACTTGCAAACGAAATGCGAGGCATGAGTGCTCTTCCTTTATATTGAGTCATCTATCATGTGCTTTACCTTAATATTGTGTCATAGCTAGATGGCTGCATACGCAATTAAAATCTTATGCAAAGAAAAGAACGAAAAGGATGTGACGAAGATCATATCATGTGAATCAAATAGACTCAGTCAGGATGTTTGAGAAAAGAAGTTCTTGCGCGTGTCTCTCAAGCTATGTCTCATCTCTATCTATGTACATCACATCCCCAGAACTCCCATCTCACCCTTTGTCCTTGATCTAGACTACTTCACTTTTGAATTCTTTGAAAATACCTTCTCCCTTCCCGGCTTTCCACTAACTCTGATACATAACTCAAGTGAATACTACCTTACAAATTCATCAGAATAAATAATCATAAATTCACTAACATGTAACCCAAACAAAGGAAATTCTGCTCTATATATCATTTGCTTGGAGGTACATCTTTGAAGCCACACAAATGCTCGTCTAACCAGTACACTAGTGATCTAAGCTACAACCATCATCCAAACGCAACAAACTTTGCTCGACTAGTTTCTCGTCTCATATCAAAACACTACGAAGCCTAGGCAATACATCCCGCGGGCCTACACCAAGCCTTCTCATTCAAGCTACGGTTTCCCGTATATTGCCCAAAGTCTACTATGGTGCTGAAACCCGGTGGCCCGACCGACGCAGAGCCGCACCTCAACCGTAATGTCTCAAACCGAGTCGAAGGCCTTTTATCCCTATTGTTACGGGGCGAGAGAGTCTACAAGATAGGAGTCACAGGACAAGATTTAAACAAGATACGTGAGATGGAACGTAGACAAGATAAGATGCGGACAAGATACGGAAGTCTAACTCAACGTCGCACGCCCTCCAAAGACGTGAACAAGGACTACTTAAAGGTCTCCTCGGACTAGCTTGACGCTAGTGTCAATAATAACACCAGTCCTCTCCGTTCCTGTACAATTGTGTTAGTATGACAACTATAATCCCCACCGCTGCTTAGGCATGCTTTCACCCTTTAATGGAGAGTCATGATAACAACCTTAACACTTGTTGCGCAAAGAAGTAGTTGGTATATCATTCGCGTAAGTGTGGCCCGTGCGCAAAAAAACTGTACATAATCACACCTGTAGTTAGAGAGAATGAAGATGTTGATGATTCAAACCCTTACTGCGACACAGCGCTGCGGAGGGCAAGACTGAACACCTGTACGCGGTGTCCTCTTCGAACCTGGGAGTGAAATATTCTCCCAGAGCCAAGTTCAGTCAAAGCTCGCAATACCGAACAAGTTGGCCCACGAGGCAATGATTCAAATTACTCCACCACATCAAATTTTCCCTCCCAAAAAGATCGAATCCTACCTAAGCCTCATCAAGTCTACAAGTAAGACCTAGTACATCCTCATTCCAATGATCACACCTCTCGTCGACTTTCTCTAGCCTCAGCCGGTCACCAAATATACGCTCATGCCGATATTTATATCCGCAGGACCAACCAAAGCGTGGCACGAAAACCTGGGAGACAGTTCTTTGGGATAGGCGTTAGAGAGATCATGACAAGTTCACAAGATGATGCAAAGGATGGATATAGTGCCGACGGGTGTGAGGCTTTGAATTCTGGCAAGAGTTTTTAAAAATTGAGCTTTGTGTGCGTGCCAAGGTTCCGGTTGCGAGAGTGCAGGCGACATTAAAAACACCGCTATGGTTGGATGGTGCAGTGGTACATCGTCTTGGCCGGTCTGCCAAGTAGAGTCTGGATAGCTTGGACACATATCCCACTCGAGACAGTAGATCGCTGGTTCAAATCCGGAAAAACACAACCACATCTCTCGCGGTGCTGGTATGCATGGATGACGAAGGCATGCTTGGATAATCAGAGGTTTTGAAACGTCCCTTTGGCGGATACTCGCGAAGGAGAGTCAACTGTGTGTGTAAGCAAACATACCTCATGGTGGTGCTTGGAGTGAAATATAGAGAATGAGTATCTCTTACGCTAGAAGAGTCATCCAAAGTGCATGCATAGCACTGGTCATATGTCATAGCTAGATAGCTGAATATCCTTGAAATGATGGTAAAACCCTCTCCACATGAGAGTTGACAGTAATCATAGCATATCTGTTCCTTCACCTGCAGGTGATGATTGTTAGGGTGCTTGGGTACTTGTCCTGTGGTAGGTTAGGACGACTTGTGGGTATCAATGGCTCCATAGTCAAAAACTTTATTTTTACTCTAGAGTCGAGCTCTTCCTACATACATTCATGATCTTCTTAAGTCGTTTATTGTATAACAAGTAATCTAGCTGTAATACATAATCAGTGCTATGTGTAAATGTCGCATGATCCTTTTGGCTTTAGAGACACTCATACTCTGTAATTCAATTCGAGTACCACCATGAGGTATGTTTGCTTACACACACAGTTGACTCTCCTTCGCGAGTATCCGCCAAAGGGACGTTTCAAAACCTCTGATTATCCAAGCATGCCTTCGTCATCCATGCATACCAGCACCGCGAGAGATGTGGTTGTGTTTTTCCGGATTTGAACCAGCGATCTACTGTCTCGAGTGGGATATGTGTCCAAGCTATCCAGACTCTACTTGGCAGACCGGCCAAGACGATGTACCACCGCACCATCCAACCATGGCGGTGTTTGTAGTGTCGCCCGCACTCTATGATATACCTTGGAATGCCACGAACAACGTATTTGCAAGTCTGGCTAATTATACTAACAAATTGCCCATGCTATATCATTGTCATCAATACATCCGTCACTGAAAGTTCAATGCGCAATCGTACCTATTTCACATTAGCATTGCAGCGGATGACTATGTCTCAAATGCGGGTTATAGGATTCTCGGAACTACTACCGACACACACGAATGTAGCTTAATATTCCTGGCTTTGATATCTGTATGTATAAGGATCTACGTCTACAGGCATCATAAATTATGATCCTTTTTTTTGCGTCGGATTTCAATTGTGTATGCAGCTTTCTAGCTATGACGCAATATTGGAGATGAAGTACAGAAAAGATGACTCAATTTACAAACAGAGCTCTCAGGCCTCGGATTTCATTTGCAGGTACCACTGCGAAGTTATGGCGGCTTTTTCTTCACCCCAAGTCAACCCTCATCCGTGAATACCCACCCAGGGGAACATCGCAAAAACCCTGAGTTATCCAGACATGCCTCCGTCATCTATCAACTTTTCTCCGCGAGAAATATGGTCTAAGGCGTCTCCTTTCCAAGTGGGAAATGTGCCCCAGCTATCAAGAATCTACTTGGCGGACCGGCCAAGACGATGTACCACCGCACCATCCAACCATGGCTGTGTTTACAGTGTCGCCTGCACTCTTCCAATAGAAGCCTTGGCACGCACAAAGCTCAATTTGTTCATCTCCATGCCATAATTCATATCACCAAACCCTTTGATGTAGTATCCATTCTCTGCATCATCTTGTAAACTTGTCCTGATCCCTCTCACGTCCGTCCAAAAGAAATTCCTCCTAAATTTGTACGCGACGACTTTGGTCCTCCTGCGGGTATTAGAATTGTTGTGGGCACATATTTAGGGACCGGCTGAGGCCTGAGAATAGTCAACGAGAGGTATAATCATTGAAATGAGGATGTACTAAGTCGTACTTACATACTTGATAAGGCTTCGTTAGGAATCTATCTCGTTGGGCGTTAAAATTTGACATGTTGGAGTATTTTGAACCATTGCCTCGAGTGCCAATTTCTTTAATACTGTGACGTTTGACTGAACCTGGCTCTGGGAGAGTATTTCACTCCTAGGTTCGTAGGACACCACGTACGGGTGTTCAGTCTTGCCCTCAAACGCATGATTTATGGAGATTGATAAATACTGATCAAAAACCACAGTTGATTAAAGTGCGCACACGCAATCGCACTTTTATCCAAGTTCACTCAGCACCATACATCTTAATAAAATTGTTTCGGCTCAAATCTTCCTTCTACAACCTCACATAAGAATTACTATATCTGTCTAACCGTCGACACTGATTCCGCTCTTACCTCATCTTTGCTTAAGCTCATAACTCCAACAACCATAAGTGCTGGAGTCCAACGCACGGAATGTAGAGTATAAGTGTTGCGGAAATCAGAAGCCTCATGTTGCAGGACTAATTGCGACTTTGTGCGTAGTATAGAGACACAAGTGTAAACGATTTAAATGGATTGGTTGGAAAGAGGGTGATGAGGTGGTTGGAGGAATGAACGGACACAACAACCTCATTTGCACCCGCACAAGTGGCAAAGAGTTCGAAAATAAGTGGCTCGGACAAGGAGGTTGAGCTTTGTTAAGGCTTACAGCTTATCGAGCATAGAGTCCTGACCTTGTTTTTCTCTACATGACTCGAGTGCGATTGAGGAGATCTTCCAAGCTAGTTTTGTCAATAAAAGTATCATATTTGGGCAGTATGAATTGTTCCGTGTAATTGCGGTATTCAGGTTGTCGTTAGGACACTGACAGGGATATGACTTAGCTCATTAGCGAGGCACTTGGAGTAGAGGAAGAAAAGGGAGAGAAGGAAGAGACAACGTTATATGTATTTCGAGATACTAGTTAATTGAATTTATTCACCGATTTTGTGACGGCACCAAATTTGTGTTACTTCATGTTTTACCAACAAGTTTCCACAGCAATTCATTTTAGTTTTTTATAATCATGGCGCCAAACAGCTTGTCGAGCGTTGCCCGATGACGTTGGGATTCATTTGATCGGATTCGACTGAATCCAATGGTGCAAAGGCAAGCTCACGTAACCAATTGATGCCATGGAATTCGTTGTGATGAAAAGATCTCTGCCCCTCGCGACGGTTAATCCCAACCTTGGCAGTTGCCATTGAGCCAGAAGCCTGAAGCTTTATCAAAATAGCCGTCCAACCCTCTACCTACAAGATCACATGATATGCGGGAAGTATGGTCAGCGTCACTGCTGTACAGAGGCCGTGGGAGCTGAAGATGCGAGGCATTGATAGTCCGAGTCTCCGTACGACTTGGCCTATTTGTGTGAACATGGCTACAGAAGCAATCGGGAACCTCCCTCCAGCAGTATGCATCGAAAGGGTAATCTTTTCATCTGTCATGTGATTGCTTTTTGAATGGGCGAAGTAATCGACCGCGTTGACTCTTGTTCGGGAGCTTCAACTCAACTGTGCCTGGGCTGGGTAAGGGCGTCAGAGCAGCTGATTCAGACTTTCAGCTTACCCACCCGCCCACAAACACACACCACGCCGCGTCCCAAGCTGCTGGGCACCTGACGTATGATGTGAGCATGAGCTGACTGCGGGACCAGTAGTTTAGAAAGCTCGACGGGGCGGGACGGATCGAGCAGGCGCAGCGATGGGATGAGACATGTTAGATTGATGCCTCGACCCCTGCGCACAACAATTTCTGGCGAGCAGCGATCATGCAGGCGCCGCTGCGGGAGATGAGTATCCTCTGTTCTGGGTCAGCTGGTCCCGACAGCGGCTGGCTGCGGTCGGCGTCGCTGACAGTCCATGCAGCATTGGCGCGCGTTGTGATTGCAGCGTAGTCGGCGAGCGACGAGATGATGCTTTCACTCCTCGCTCATCCGGGCAGATGGTGAAGTTGACTTGGCCAGGTTCTCGTTGACTCTCACGCTGCGTCCGAGAGGTCACCTGGTAAGGCTTCGGCCGATCCCCGTCATCATGGAGCGGCCAGCACGTCAATGCCCGCCGCTTCGAGTCCAGGGCTCATCTGGCCAGCCTGCAGCATCGCGCGCAGCCGTAACAATCAGAATATCCAGTTGCTGGCCGTGTCAGTGAAGCCGCCACTCACGCTACCCCTGGTCGGAGATCTGCATTGCTCATCTACCCCGATATTCCCCGCCTTTGTCGTGCGCGCCCGGCCCCAAATAGCCTCGACTTGTGCAGCCAGTCGACGCTGCACTCGTCACAGCCCTTGACGCCAGGGGGACCCCCCCCCAGGAAAGGGGCAAGTCCTCTCCATCATGGCACCACGGCGCGGGAACTAGGAACGCGCAGTGTCGGCGCACCCGCGCTGATGGTTTCCTCAGGGCGACTAGTGAGAGCTGCATTACTCATGGACACGCTGAGCCGCAGGTCGGAGCTGCATTCTGATGGACCCGGCTAAAGCGCCCAGGCAAAGTCTCGTAGCATTGGAGCGCGTCAACGCAAGCGTTGCACGAGTGGCTACGCGTAGCCTGCGACTACACCATACTGTCGACAAGACACTCGGCCTCCTGCCTAATCTAGATTCGTCTGTACGCTTACACGGTAATTTCATGGATTCCAACGTACTCCCAGCCTGAGCCGCACTTTTGGTCGTTCCGTCAGCACCTGAATCCATTCCCGTCTTCTAACTCAAGCCATTGCTGCCCACCCCCCCCCCAACGCCGCTACCTAGCGCCGCACCGAGTTATGAAAAGGGATCGGGAAAACTTCTACCCTCGCCAGCGTCCCCCACACGTACACCATCATTATGCCGGCTCAACTTTAGCGCCGTGTGGCGATATAGGCTCGTAGTTTGGAAAGGTATTGTCGGCTTCCGGTGCCCCCGACAGCTTCTCCACCAGCGAAAATATGCGGCTCCAAGCGACCAAGCCAATGATGCTGTGGAAGACCTTGATTCCCCATTTAGATTGGGGGTTGAGGATCGCCGGCACGCCGGGAGGCAGATCCTGCGCCTTGGTAACGTATGGTCTCATCTTGCTCTCGTAGCCCTGGAAGGCACTCCTAAAATCCTTACCTGCTCGGGAGATTTCGCCTGCCAAGACGTAAGCTCCGGCGATCGCCAGCGTCGTACCCATGCCAGAAATCGGCGACGAACAATACCCTGCATCCCCGAGCAATACGACGCGACCGCGGCTCCAGCACGGCATGCGAATCTGACCAATCTCCTGCATGTAGAAATCGTCGGCCTTGTCCATACCGTTGAGTATTCGCTCCGTCTCCCACCCAGCATCGGCGAAGAGTCTCCGCATCATTGCTTTCTGGGCCGGAATGGAGAGCTGGCGATAGCCGGCCGGCTCGTTGGAGATGATGGAGAGGAAGGAGCGTGTGCAGCCACTGTTGTCGGGGCGGATGAGAATACTGCGGCCGCCCTGAGCATTGTACCATTTGGCGTAGGTACTGTCCTGTCTGGAACGACGAGTTAGTGGTAGTGAGGGAGTGGGTGCGCGAGAACGAACCTCTCGTATGGGATGGTAAAGTAGGAAGTGTACTGTCCGAGGAATTTCGAGGGGTCCTGGATGTCGGGAAATGCCAGTTTGCGGATTTTAGACCACATGCCATCAGCGCCTATCAGGAGATCAAAGACACGGGTCTCGCCGGTGTCGAGAGTGACTGAAACTTTTTCGTCGTCCGCCTGCTGGAGATTGGTGACGTGGTTACCAAAGATGTACTCGGTGTTGGCCTTGGTCGCATCGAAGAATACCTTGACCAAACTCTCACGCACAATTTCGTATTCCGAGGTGAAGCTGAGCTCGCCTGGCCGCACCGGAAATTCGGCCTTATGCCTCCCATTTGCATCGATGAAGAGCAGGCCGTCCTCGCGCGTTGTTCTCGCCCTGATAGCCTCTTCGACGCCCATGCGCTTGATAACCTGGACGCCGGCTCCGCGAATGTCAATCTGCTGACCGGCCTTCCGGATGCCATTGCTTCGTTCAATAATCGTCGTTTTGATGAGCCCGGCCGAGAGACGATGTAGCCAGTAGGCGCAGACAGGGCCGGCAACGCCGGCGCCGGAAATGAGGACGGACATGGACATGTTTCACGCAACCGATCCAGGCGGGCTCGTGTGTTGGGCGGCGTGGACGTGGATCAAGGGACTGGACGACAATGAGCGACGAATGGAGAGAAGTTGCAAGTGCTGACCCAAGGGAGAAAGAGGCCTTATTTAGGCTGGAGAGAGTCACTGGCGCCATTTGGCTACATTGAGGCTCTGCCGTGGCGGAAAGTGCTAGACTCCGAAGGCCGAGCCGGTCACGTTCAAGAGCGAGGAGACAGCGGGTATGACAAGCTCTGGATAAAAACAGATGACGAATTGCCCTGGGTCGCGGAGCCTAGTGAGGCCAACGAGCCAGGTCGTATTTCCCAGAACTCTGGGATCCGTTTGGGAGCGCGATGGAAACGTCTGCCCAATCGACGCGGGGGTCTGGCGCCACCACTAGCAGGGGTAGGTTACCGGCGGCGGCGACGACGGCAGCGCATGGGCCGCGCGTCGTGAGTCGCGTGGAGGGACTGGGGTAATTGGGGACGCCGAGTGCATTCGCTCGACTGCTTCCTCTTCGTGGGCTACTCGCGCACAGCATGTGTGAGGTGGGCGCGTGTAGTTGGAGATGGGAGGCCGTGAGTATCGAGTCTTTGGCAGTGGTGAGGATGTTTGCATGCACGGTGGCCGGCCGGCCTGCCTGCCTTCCTGCATGCAGAGAGATGTATGAAGCTGGCGAGAGACAAGACTCATACGCACTCCGGCATACCAGACAATCAAGGGTATGCAGAATGGTAAGCTTGTCGATTTGCTGCGTCTTCTTGGCTCTCCGTGAGCCGGCTATAGCTGGAAGATGTGTTCGTCTGAGGGCCCAACTCTGGCTTCTGGTAACTGCGTCGCTGGGCAAATCTTACCGGCTCCACGGGCCCCCGCTACGTCTCTAGTGCTGAGAGCCCAATGTCGAGGGGATCCGTCTGGCCTCCGAGGCCCACGACCATATCATGCTTTGCCCACTAATATGACTAGACGTTTCCTGTGAGCGTCAGGGTCCATGTCTCATTTTGACCCATTGTCGCCCTGTCCTCGCACGGCTGGACAACAACACCGGCTTCTCAAAGCCATTCTCACAGCCATCTCGCCCCAACTCATCCAATACTTCTGGAGATACTGGAACCAATGCCACGGTCTCTCCATGGACCTCTACTTTTCAAATTTCCGTCTGCATCGGAAATGCGTATGCAAATGCTGCACTGAAACGTGCATAGAAAGTGGATCAAGCCGTAGGCCGCAGCAATTGATAACGGGTATCTCCACCTCCCACCACAGACGGCTACTCAAACCGATGGCAGCATAGCTCCAGTGCCGAATCCCAGCCACCACGTTGGTCAAAACATCTGGTGCTGAGCTGTCACATATCCATCCTGTGTCTATCTACATGCCTGTTGATGGGCAGCGGTGTCCCGCCTTTCCATGACTCATATCGTGCTGACCCGACCCTCTAGACGCGTATCAATCTACACGCGCAGCAGCAGTAGTTTTGAATCCCATTGCCACCGTCGGCGGCCAAGTTCAGCATTGCTCGGCTCGTCTGTTTCCAACTTTCCGCATCCTAGTTGGCGGGCTGGGAAGATAACCTTCAGCCATCTCCCGCACCGAGACACGTTTGCCATTCAAAGTATGCATCTAGCATGTGTTACGCTGAGCGGCTCATGTCGAGGCGGGATTACTTACATTAACCATCCATCAACTTGAATATCTCGTCATGGCGCTGGGATCGGCTGCACCACACGCCGGCCTCTGCAATCAATCATGTCGAATAGCATCATTTTCATGCTCCACAATGAAATCCTGGCGAGCCATGGTATTGACCCGAACTATCCGCGGTAAAATCTCATCGGCACGCGCCGGCTATAGTAGGCTACAATCCCTATTCACACTGGCCAGTTGTTCAAATCATCATACTTTGAATCGCACTACATCAAGACCTCGCACCTCTTCTGGCCATTTGCCAAAACGACGCTCGGCTATGTTACGGCGCGAACCGAAAGGGGAAGGATCTGCCGTTTTCGAAGTGTAGGAGGGGATTATCGAGGTTTAGAATTAAGAATTCAAAGATTAAAAAGAGATAATTGTGGTAGCAAGATACCAAAGATGATTATGATCAAAAGAAGAGAAAAATACATATTGCGAAGCTGAAGATTTGGGTCAGCCATTTCTTCCGCTTCTTATAATCAAAACAATTCATTAATACAATCTCCGGCTCGTCCATGAACCATCCATCGTATGAGGGTATCTGAGTTCAATTGCCAATCTCCTCAGATATTTAGTTTGGGAAATAATATGTGGATTCTTCCTGTATCCTAAATACTATTCATCCCCGAAAGCCTGTATTACTAATTTATGCAAAGATACTTTCATTAAGCACAGCAATGCTAATTCCGAAAGCCGTTCTTGGAGACGACCTTGTAATTTTATCTCTTTAGTTAATATTGGCTGGCCGGTTATGTCGTTTGGGAACTCTGCCTCAGGCCAGAGTATTCAGGCCATAACAGGCTACGCCCACGCAAGCAAATAGAAGTTAACACGCTACTATTGGATTGTTCCTTTGCACAGGAGTGCGTAAGATGCCACGAAAAAGGCACCCGCAGCAACCTGAATGTCAGGGAGTCGGGACGGCGCGGCTAAATCAGACTGTAACTCGGATCGCATCACCTCATAACTCACCTGTTGCGAGTTAATCTGACCTCGACTCTGAGCCGGTTGATGGCCGAAAAGACGAAGGATCGTATGGCCGGTCATTTCAAGGTAAAAAGGCAAGAATACATGACCTTGGAGACGGGGCCATTGTGAATCAATGTGACAAGCATGCTGCGAATGTAGTCGGAAGCATCATCATATGGAAGAGGAGTCATGCGCAATATGTATGTACCTGTTATATCCCTGTCCATCATTAACCAATCCCGCACTGTCACGAACACCAGTATACGGAGGACATGGACTGGACGCCTGTACGCGGTCTCTACGAACCTGGGAGCAAAATATTCCCCCAAAGTCAAGTTCAGTCAAGTTTCGCACTACGATAGAAGCTAGTCCACGAGGCAATGATTCAAATAACTCCACCACGTCAAATTTTCACTCCCAAAAAGATCGATTCCCACCTAAGCCTCATCAAGTCTACAAGTACGACCTAGTACATCCTCATTCCAATGATCACACCTCTCGTCGACTTTCTCTAGCCTCAGCCGGTCACCAAATATACGCCCATGCCGATATTTATATCCGCAGGAGCAACCAAGACGTGTCACGAAAACCTGGGAGACAGTTCTTTGGGATAGGCGTTAGAGGGATCAGGACAAGTTCACAAGATGATGCAAAGGATGGATACAATCTCGACTGGCGTGGAATTTTGAGATTTGGCAAGGAGTTTTACCAAATTGAGCTTTGTGTGCGTGCCAAGGTTCCGGTTGCGAGAGTGCAGGCGACATTAAAAACACCGCTATGGTTGGATGGTGCAGTGGTACATCGTCTTGGCCGGTCTGCCAAGTAGAGTCTGGATAGCTTGGACACATATCCCACTCGAGACAGTAGATCGCTGGTTCAAATCCGGAAAAACACAACCACATCTCTCGCGGTGCTGGTATGCATGGATGACGAAGGCATGCTTGGATAATCAGAGGTTTTGAAACGTCCCTTTGGCGGATACTCGCGAAGGAGAGTCAACTGTGTGTGTAAGCAAACATACCTCATGGTGGTACTCGAATTGAATTACAGAGTATGAGTGTCTCTAAAGCCAAAAGGATCATGCGACATTTACACATAGCACTGATTATGTATTACAGCTAGATTACTTGTTATACAATAAACGACTTAAGAAGATCATGAATGTATGTAGGAAGAGCTCGACTCTAGAGTAAAAATAAAGTTTTTGACTATGGAGCCATTGATACCCACAAGTCGTCCTAACCTACCACAGGACAAGTACCCAAGCACCCTAACAATCATCACCTGCAGGTGAAGGAACAGATATGCTATGATTACTGTCAACTCTCATGTGGAGAGGGTTTTACCATCATTTCAAGGATATTCAGCTATCTAGCTATGACATATGACCAGTGCTATGCATGCACTTTGGATGACTCTTCTAGCGTAAGAGATACTCATTCTCTATATTTCACTCCAAGCACCACCATGAGGTATGTTTGCTTACACACACAGTTGACTCTCCTTCGCGAGTATCCGCCAAAGGGACGTTTCAAAACCTCTGATTATCCAAGCATGCCTTCGTCATCCATGCATACCAGCACCGCGAGAGATGTGGTTGTGTTTTTCCGGATTTGAACCAGCGATCTACTGTCTCGAGTGGGATATGTGTCCAAGCTATCCAGACTCTACTTGGCAGACCGGCCAAGACGATGTACCACTGCACCATCCAACCATAGCGGTGTTTTTAATGTCGCCTGCACTCTCGCAACCGGAACCTTGGCACGCACACAAAGCTCAATTTGGTAAAACTCCTTGCCAAATCTCAAAATTCCACGCCAGTCGAGATTGTATCCATCCTTTGCATCATCTTGTGAACTTGTCCTGATCCCTCTAACGCCTATCCCAAAGAACTGTCTCCCAGGTTTTCGTGACACGTCTTGGTTGCTCCTGCGGATATAAATATCGGCATGAGCGTATATTTGGTGACCGGCTGAGGCTAGAGAAAGTCGACGAGAGGTGTGATCATTGGAATGAGGATGTACTAGGTCGTACTTGTAGACTTGATGAGGCTTAGGTGGGAATCGATCTTTTTGGGAGTGAAAATTTGACGTGGTGGAGTTATTTGAATCATTGCCTCGTGGGCTAGCTTCTTTAGTGATGCGAAACTTGACTAAACTTGGCTCTGGGAGAAATTTCAGTCCTAGGCTTGTAGATTTTTTAATTCATTTTATTGTCCATTTCGGAGTCTATGACAATGTAGGACATGCACCAGGTTTCATAGAGGACACCGCGTACAGGTGCTCAGTCTTTGCCCTCCCCCAAGAGACTTTACTGCTTAGCGAGGATAATTAAGTAGTTTTCATTTCCGAAACAGAGGTTTCCATGCTTTTTTCCCTGTCTTTAGAAATAGTGGCATAACTCATGCACTCATTCACTCTTGCCTTTGCCAATCATTATGACCTACTGCCACCTCCGGCTACTCCATCTAGAATGACCCTTCGCGTTCTTACG